GCAAGTAGGGTTTGACCTTTTTTGTACTAGTTGCAAATCCACCCTCAACTCGCAATTCGTGTCTAACCTTTTTTGTCCCAGTTGCAAGTCCACCCTCGACTCACAACTAGGGCCCAACCTTTCTTATCGGAGTTGCAAGTCCACCCTTGACTCGCAATTGGGGCCCAAACTTTTTTAGTCCCACTTGCAATTTCACCCTCGACTCGCAAGTAAGGTTTGACCTTTTTTGTACCAGTTGCAAATCCACCCTCAACTTGCAACTTGTGTCTTTCCTTTTTTGTCCCAATTGCAAGTCCACCCTCGACTCGCAACTAGGGCCCAACCTTTCTTGTCAGAGTTGCAAGTCCACCCTCGACTAGCAACTGGGGCCCATGCTTTTTTAGTCCTAGTTGTAACTGGGGCCTAAGCTCTTTTCTAGATGCAGCGATGGAAATGTGTACGACCATCTCCTTGACTTGTAACTGGGTCTATAGTTTGTTTCATCCATTTGTAAGTCGACCCTTGACTCGTAACCGGACTTATCATTTTTATAGTTGTCCTAGTTGCAAATCCACCTCGACTTGTAACCAGGCTTGTAGTTGTCCGAGTTGCAAGCCCACCCTCAACTAGCAACTGAAGCATGTGTTTTTCCATCCCAGTTACAAGTCCACCCATGACTCACGACTGGGCTCATAGTTTATTCCAAACCAGTTGCAGGTCGATCATTGACTCACAACTGGGCTCATATTTTGATAGTTGCCCCAGTTGCAAGTCCACCCTCGACTCACAAATGAGCTCGTAGTTATCCCATTTGCGAGTGCATCCTCGACTTGCAACCGGGCATGTATTTTCATTTTTTATCCCAGTTGCGAATCCATGCTCGTCTCGCAACTCGGCTCATACTTTGTTATTGTCCTAGTCGTAGGTCCATACTCGACTCGTAAATGGTATAGTAATTTTGGGTAGTTGTCCCACTTGCAAGTCCACCCTCAACTCGCAACTAGGGTCAGGCCTTTTTTCGTCTCAGTTGCGAGTCCACCCTCGACTCACAACTGGGGCCCATCCTTTTTTGTCCCAGTTGCAAGTATACCTTCAACTCGCAACTTGGGCTCGACAATTTATTTCCCAGTTGCAAGTCCACGCTCGACTCACAGCTGGGGCCCGACTTTTCTTTCTTCTAGTTGTAAGTCCAGCCTCAACTCAGGACCGACCTTTTTTCCCAGTTGCAATCCCATCCTCGACTAGTACTTGGGGCCCGACTTTTTTCCCCCAGTTGCAAGTCCATCTTCACCTCGCAATTGGGCCCCGACCTTTTTTTGTCGTAGTTGTAAGTCCACACTCAACTCACAACTAGTACCAAACTTTTTTAGTTGCAAGTCCACCATCACCTTGCAACAGGAATATGACCTTATTTGTCCCAGTTGCAAGTCCACTTTCGACTCGCAATTGGGGCCTAACCTTTTTTGTCCAAGTTGCAAGTCCATCCTCAACTCGCAACTAGGGTTTCGACCTTTTTTGTCGCAGTTGCAAGTCCACCCTCGACTCACAACTAGGGGGCCCAAACTTGTTTGTCAGAGTTGCAAGTCCACTCTCGACTTGCAACCGGGGTCCGAGGTTTTTTAATCCCAATTGCAAGTCCACTTACGACTTCCAACTGAAGCACGACCTTTTAATAATTTTTTATTCATAGGTTTTCCTCTCCGTTTAATTTTTCTATTTTCAAAAGTCGATCTCATTTTTTTCATTTTCATTTTCTGAATCTTTTCCTTTTTTTGGGTAAATTCACAACTTTCAAAACATGTTCCAAAATTCATAAGTTTTTCATTTTCCAAAATTGTTCGTGTTTATCAAAAAATTTGAAAATTTGAAAATGTGTTCATGCTTTTCAAAAAATGTTCACAAGTTAAAAAAATGTACGTGCTTTTCAAGACAAGATCAAAATGTTTTATACAATGTTAACGTTTCCAAAAATTGTTTGCAAATTTCTAAAAATGTTCAAATTTTTGAAAATGTCTAAATTTTTTTCAAAAAAATGTCCATGTTTTCATAAAATGTTTAGAAGTTTGTAAAGTTATTTCTTCTTTTCAAAAAATGTCCATGTTTTCATAAAATGTTTAGAAGTTTGTAAAAGTATTTCTTATTTTCAAAAAAATGTTTCTAAATTTTTTTTAAAAAAATATCATTTTTACAGAAACATATCTCAATTTCAAAATTTGTCGTCTCTATAAAAAATTACATTTTCAAGAAATGTTCTCATTTTGACAAAAATATTACATAAATACAACATAATATTTTATTGCGATGGCGCGTGTCTCGCTTGAAGCAGCGATGCCCAAACGGCATTGCAAAATACACAGTAATATTTCTGAGTGTGCTTATTTCTGTCTTCTTTTGTAAGTAATAAAAAGTAAAACAGGCGTAGTATTTTGTTGTGTACCCAGTAGTATTTTGTTGTGTACAGTGACTAGTACTAGTACCCAGTAGTACTCCCACCAGAAAGGTAACAAAGTCAATGGGATTACACCAGTGAGCGTAGCCTAAGCTAAAAAAACAGTGACCATAGCCGGGAGAACAAATGTGCGTGCAGCGCAATATGGAGCAAGCGGCGGATGGGCTGGCTTTAGGAAAGAGGACAGGACGTGGTAGTGGGCCTCGTCAGCACACGTGGTTGACAGCCTGGCTGACGCGTGCATTTTATCAGGCGGAGGAAAAGGAGAGCTCCTATGCGCCGCTCGTTGCGGCGAATTGTCGACCCGACGCACAGGCGCGTCTCTAGCTGGGCCGGCCCATTAGCGCAACGCAGTGAAATATCCCCAAAAATACTCCGCTCGATGAAGGGATCGAACCAGGGACCTCCATTTTGTATGCACTAGCCTAGCCAACGCGATAGACAAGCATTCTTGGTTTGCCATGGCGCGCGAAGCTAAATGTAATGTAGATCCGAACATTTTCTCAAATTCCTAACGCAAAAATTATTTTGAAAACGTGTTTTTTAAAAAGCGAACACTTTCCAAATTTTAGTAGAAAAACTAAAAAGCTTGAACAAAGTTTTGACAAAATGAACATATTTTAAAATCCCGAACATTTTTTGAATTTAGAGAACAAAATTTTGAAATCAAGAACAAAATTTGAACATGAACATTTTTTAGAGCATGGATTTTTTTAATCTTGAGAACAAATTTTGAAACGGAGAACAAATTTGGAAGCGCAGATTTTTTTAAAGCATGAACATTTTTTTTCTATCTTGAGAACAAATTTTGAAACTTAGAACAAATTTGGAAGCGCAAAAAGTTTCTTAAAGCACGAACATTTTTTGAATATTGAGAACAAATTTTGAAACAGAGAACAAATTTGAAAAATCCCGAACAAATTTGGAAGCGCGAACATTTTTTGAAAACGTGAATGAAATAATTGAAGTCTGGTACATTATATCAATTTGGAAAGTTTTGAACTTTTTTGTGTAACGAGAACAATTTTTGAATTTTGAGAACATTTTTTAAAAAACTGAAAATTTTATGGAAAGGCAAACAAAATTTGAATATTTTGAAAAAAAAGAGAAAAGAGAAAAGAGAATGAAATAAGAAACCAAAGAAAGAAAACAAACAAAAAAATGAAAAAAGAAGAAAAGAAAAAAGAAACAGAAAGGAATTTGCAAATCTGAAGAACAAAAAGGGAAATAGAAAGAGAAGAAAAAGGAATTGAAAAATGAAATAAGGAAACAGAAAAACAAAGAAAGAAGAAAAAAATAGAAAGAAAAAATAAACAGAAAAAGAAAAAACTGGTCCAAGAACCCTCTGGAAGGTTCCCAAAACCGGTCAGGAACCTTCCAGAAAGTTCCCAAAACCGGATAATGTAGCGCGTGTACTATCTTGTAGTTGGGCCGGCCCATCGTGATCGCTAGGTCGCTCGCGTCTGTGCGTTAGCTCGACATTCTGCCGCAATGAGGGTCCGTTAGGATATTCCGAGGAAAAGTACCCTAAAAAAAATCAGGCGGAGGAAAGGAAGTCTTCTCTCCGACAAACTAACAGGCCCAACACACACAAAAACAAACAAACAAGTAAAAGAGACCACAAAAGTGCTGGTGTCATACTTAGATGTGAGATATTATCTCACATCTAGATGCCATATATTAACCCATACATTAATATGCTACACTGTTGTTTCCTTCATCGTTTTCAAGAGGACATACTAAACTGACAATTGTCAATATAATATTTTGCCAAGTTTCTGGGTCTTCATCATGTTATCTATGACTTATAATTTTTTTGTGTAAATTGTTGTTCCGCGACATGCAATTTCCAGATCTCATTTCAAGGGGCAATTCGCCATTGTGGTCCTTAAACCCCGGCATGGCGAGAGCATTTGCAAGTGTCCCTATCCGTTGGTTCATTGCAAAACACCAGCACATCCCACCACCGAGGTGTCACGCACGTACACTTGAGAGCACGGGGCAGAGGGCAGCAAGCAGCACAAGCAACACGCATGTCAACAGCACTCTCTAGAAGCAAGCCGTGTTGCCGGAAAGGGGCCGATGGTGGCTCGCTCTCTTCGGGAGCGTGGGCCGAGGCCGAGGAAAGGGGCCGCAGGCCCGAAGCCCAGGACGGCGATGGGGTCAGGCACCTTGAAATACCCCGCCTTGGCGCCCGGCGTAACCGCCGCAACCAACAGCCAACACAGCTCGCCGGAGCGCCAACCGCCAAGAACCCCCACTTCTCGCCACCGCGCAGCGCCCACCGCCTCTGCTCTCCAGCGCCGGCGAACGATGGACAGGTTCCACGACAGGCAGCACGTGTGGCTGCGGAGCCGCGTGCACGGCACGTACCTCAAGGCCAACAGCGACGGGAAGACCGTCTCCCTTCGCGGCCGCCGCGCCTCGCTGAAGGCCGCGTGGACGGTGCACATCTACCAGGGTGAGGGCGACGCCGTGTACCTGCTCCTCCACAGCGCCGCCTACGGCCGCTACCTCGCCGCCACGGCCAGGCGCGCGCCGCTCGGGCTCGGCCACAACGGCTTTCGCGCCGAGCAGCGCAACTACGATGAGCCGGACGTGCAGGCCATCATGTGGGAGGCCGTCGGGGCGGGCTCCGGTGACGACGTCATGCTCCGCAACGTCGGCGGCTGCTACCTCCGCGCCAACGGCAGGTACCTCCGCTGGAACACCGGCGTCAGCGTCGAGGACATGGACAGAGTCAGCAACATGGCGCACTGGATCGTCGAGCCCATCCCCGCCAGAGAGGCGGGCATGCCTGACCTTCCTGGCCCGCCCGTGAGTTCGCCATGACCTGACGACCAGCTTCTCGAATTGCCAATTCATTCGCTCAAGAGCAATTCCTGATCTGTTCTTGCCGAATTCCTACTTCTTGACTCAACTGCAGAACCGCGTCCTCTACATGGTGCTCGGCCAGGCGTGGCGGACGATCGTGTTCGTGCGAGCGAACGCCGAGGGGTTCTACGACGAGGGCAACTGGCACATCTTCCCTTTCAGGGGGAGGTCCGTGAACCACCTGAGGAATGAGCTGGCGGACCGCATCGCCTTCATCGACGGCCAGTACCCCGACGGCATCGCCATGTGCGTCCGGGCGGGCCTCTAAGGGAGGCCGACTCCACTCGTCGTCGATCTGCCCCGCTACTCTGGCCACGCCGAGGCCCACCAGATTGTCGTGATGATGTCCGGGACCCCTGGTGAGAGCCTCCCTCCATGTCACAACTCACAACTCATACTACCTAAAGATTTCCTGATGGTAGTCTTGATTGATTTTGTTATGCACAATTTACAGATTCACTTTTGGTGCAGTTACTATTTGCTGCATGGCTAATCTGCTTGTGTTTGAATTTTTTTTTACTGAAACTGTTATAGTCTGAGAAACAGTTTACTGAAACTGTTATAGTCTGAAAAAAAGTTAATTGAAACTGTTGTGTCTGAAACTTGTTAGGTGTTGGGAATTGTCTGCAACTGCAGTAATCTTTTAGATAAATGAAAGATGATCTGTGGAAGTTAGTCAGTTGATTCATCTCTTTTCAGAATTAACAGAGAAGATGGTGATATCCGTTTGATTTGACCCATTTTACTTGCATTGAATAACCTGTGAACAAAATTTAGGTTCCAACAACACTAAACTGAATCTTGTCTCTGCACATAAGTTGTATTCAGGTTTTGTGGGCTGTATTCTTGGTCTTGTTATTTTTTTGCATTACTCTGAGATTTAGATTGTTCATCTGCTTCCTACTGATCTTCTTTAGCGAGAAAAGTAATGTTGGTCTCGAATCTGCTACACACAAAGCACAGATGTCGGTGTAAATACTATTTTGCTGCATGAACACGATATTTGGAGTCTTACTTTATTGGAGTGCTACTGCTAGTGCTAATTTGATCGTGCTTGGAACTTGTCTGAAATTGCTGTAGTCTGTAAGGTAAAAGTAGTTGGATGGAAATAGTAGGTGCCATGTGGATTTATCAGTCTGTGACTCTGTACACATGGTAAAAGATGGTCTGAACAGTTCTGTCTTTGATTCAGATAATTCAGTTCGTCCATTTCGTAACATTTTCCATTATTAGAATTATGGACCCTAAAAAGCCAAATCAAGTTCAGTCATCTCATTTCACCTTTGCAGAGAAGATACTAATTTTTTAACCCGTGAATAAAATTCAGGTAGTATCTTGCAGTAGTGCATAAAAAGCTTAGTTCCTTGCACATAATATTGTTTCAGATTTTTCTTGTTTATATCGTTAGTGATTATTGGTCTGCCGCCTAACTGGTTCGTACATTCTGCTGATTCAGCGTACGATGAGCTGCGATACCCTGATGTCAACGCAATATAGAGAAAGCTCATAGCTGGAGGCCTGACAGTTCACCTGTTCATAAGTTGCGCCGCCTCGGATATGATGATAACAGAACTGGACGCCTACTTTTGCCTATAGACACATAGATATAGGTTCAGAAAACTCAGCAGCTCCCGTGTTTCTTCTGCTAGCTAAACTTGGTGAAAATGTTTCATCCGATGGCTGAACGACTCTGTAATCTGTAGTGATGCTGGTTGAAGTAATCGTTTTAGTGTCGCTCTTCTGACATTCACTGTGGGGTTCTTGCATTGATTTGATGGTCCTGCATTCCTTTCGTACTAGTATGTATTTCTCTTAGATGATGCTATGGTTTTTGCAGTGAGTTAATGGTCCTGCATTCCTTTTGTACTATGCATTTCTCTTAGATGTAGCATCTGATATGAACAATGATTTGGTTGTTCTTGCTGTTAGTTGGGCACTTGAGTTTAGATGTCCTTTGGTTGTTCTCTTTAGCAATTTACTCTTTTGTATATGACCAGGCATTCTTTAGAGAGGTTTCATGAAAAATGGACCTGAAGCTGCAGTAACCATATTGGCAGTAACTGAAGAAAGTAGGCACAGGAAATTAAGTGTGTAACTGAAGCTGCAGTGCCTACCGTAATATGTGCTCTTGATACCAAAATGTCTAGCATTTCTTAGTAGTGTGTCTTTCTTCCGGACTCTGATGATCGTAAGGTTGCACACGATCTGTGCTCTCAGCAGCCCACAGTTCAGCACTCACGTTGTTAGTTGCAGTCATTTTGATCGAAATAACAACATTCAGCATGACAGTGATTTCTGACAGAATTTGCAGGCATTTTTGTTCTTGCTTCCCGTTTTCCTATCAGGTGTTTCAGTTTAGTCGTAACACGTGGGTGTCGTGTTGATTCTTTGTCCTATTTTGTAATCCATTTCCTTTTAGGAAAATAGGGCTCCACCCTGGATTCATTTTATTCAAACGAAACCAACCGTAATCTATTTGATAGAACGAAGGATATACATAAACGCAGGACAATGATCCGGATGTGGTTTTGTCATAAAAAATGTACTATTTAGTTTTACTTTATGAATATTAATTCCAAGACTGGGGTTAGAGCAAATTCATTGGGCAATTGCCTGACTCTAGTACACAAACACACAAGGACACAACTCTGTCCAAACCGAGTTACATTGGGTGATTGGACCTCAAGAAAACAAAGCGGCATAGAAGCTTCTCTGATGCACAATTTTATTGGCCAGTATCTCTGAAGAACAACAAGAAATGGACAGAGTCTTTCTTTGGAATGTCTCAGGCTTGAAACGACCTCGATAGTCGACCAAACATGACCGGCATCCTGTCTTCGCCGCTTCCTAGTTCATGTCCATGTCAACGACGCCTTGGTTGACCTTGTGTCAGGCTATGAATCTCTGAACCTGATTATCTCTGAAGAGTATAACACTTGGAACAACGAAGAGACGAATTGGTATGAGGGTTGGGATCACTGGTAGGCTTCACTGTATCTCTTCATACCGTTTCCACCAGACCCTTCATTTGCTATAATGAATTGGCCAACGAGGGTGTCGTGCTGCTCCTGCTTAGTCCTAGTTATAAAAGCTTCTTTTTCGAAAAAGGGTGCTTTATTACTTAAAAGATTTAAGCATTACACCCGGCCTCTGGATAGCAAAAACGCGCACGGCCAAACAATGTCCTCTCACACAAACGAAAAAAATAAAAAGGTGAAATATAAAGAAACATGTAGAGTTCGTATAACGCCTAAAATGGAGGGTTGCCAATCCTCAGATCATGCTGCCACCCAAAGTCGGGTAAAAGTATCCCTCGTTGTAGCCTCCAATCGTGTACACATCTCTGTAAACAGATCTAGTTTCTCCTTACGTTGTAGAGAGGACCATAAACGAAGAGTATATTTATAGATAATCTGCATAAGAGAAGTACTTTTATGAGTCAGATACACCACTTGTGCCATAACTTGGCTCGAAAAATCTGTTTAGTGCTAAAACTTGTGGCATACATTGAACTAGTGCCATAACTTGGCTTTGGCGTGCATATGCGATGCAAATCACATTTCTATATGAACAAGGTGCTGATTAGGCGCGCCAACATGGCATGGGCCCGCTGTCAGCGGCTGGATGATGTGTGCCTGCTATTTTGCAAAAAGCACCTCGGGAATTATTTTCTTATGAAAAAGCCCCTGTGAACGACCAATATTTTCCAAACAAATGGAGGCATGTGGGGTCCATCTGTCAGCCACCCACATTATTGTGCAAAAAATTGTTGTCGCCGGGATTCGATCACCTGCCCTGCCGCTTGTAGTAGCGCCAGCCAGAGCAATAAACCCGACAGAGATGTTCTGACGAACGGATACAAAACATTTATAACCTGTCTGATTTAAGTGGGCTGGAGTTCCAGCGGTCCATGTTGCACTGTTATTTTTTTTAAAGTACATGTAAATTGTAACCGTGTGTTATAAAGAAATAGATCTCAAAATAACAATGAACACTTTTATATGCAACATATTTTTTATTAAAATCATGAACATTTTAAACTTATATTACCATTTATAATGAAATAAAATATATAATTATATGTATTAATACCTGAATCTTTTTTATAATGTAATATTATTTTATATTATTATTATTTATAGCATAACAATATAATTTACATATATTCTATTAATTCCTAAGAAAGTAACGCTGCTGAGGTGGTGCGGTGGCCACTTGCACATGATGACTAAATGTCGTTGCTTCTAATCCCAGCCAACTATTTTTACATTATACGAATATATATTTTTGAAAGCATGAACATTTATATATACTACATGAATACTTTGTTAAAATTATTAATATATTAAAAATCATTTAAGAATTTATGAAAATATATAGTAACTAAAAAAATTCTTAAAACATGAACAGTTTTACACACTACCTGACTATTGTTTTAAAACTGTGAACATTTTTAAACTTATGTAAGCATTCATTAAAAAATACGTAAAAACATGAATATTTTTATATATTAAAATTATATTGTTAATACTGTGAACAATTTCAAACTTATATAAGAATTTACTGAATATATGTTTTTAGTCAATATGCAAATTATCGCATGAAGAGTTTTGTAATTCATAATTTATTATATGGATAAATGTTAAATCAATACATGATTTTATAAATTGTTTCATTTATTTCTATATACATATTATTTATAACACACTATTATAATTTACATATATTCTGTAAATTCCTGGAAAAACACAATGCAAAATGGGCTGCATGGACTGCAGCCCACTTAACAATCAGAGAATATATAGAACTAGCAGCGTCCTACGGTCGTGGGAATGCTCCATGAATGCTCCCTGTTGTCTTGTGGGCCCCTCGTGGCACCATCTAACCTAATTCATAAATTTCCAAATATTCTGAAACCTTCAGAGCGAGACCCAAAACAATTATTTCACCGACGCGAGTCTTTGTTTTTCCGCGATCCCATCTGGAGGCCTCCGCCGGTACTATGCCTGAGAGGGAATTGATCACGGGCGGCTTCTACATCAACATTTGCCGCTCCTCGATGATGTGTGAATAGTTCCCACATGACCTACGGGTCCATAGCTAGTAGCTAGATAGCTTTCTCTCTCTCACTCTCTCTCTCTCTCTCTCTCTCTATATATATATATATATATATATATATATATATATATATATATGACCTTCAATACAATGTTCTCCTCGGAGATCTATTCGATGTAATTTTCTTTTGCGGTGCGTTTGTTAGTATCA